AAAAAAAAAAAAAAAAAAGAAGGATCACAGTGGCTGCTACTGGGGAGAAGAGTTGGTGCAGAGATTCTTGCAAATTTTTTATTAACAGGATTCTTACACCATAAACTTTACTCCTTTTAAAGTTTGAAATTCGGAGATCTTGGTGTATGTACAACACGGCATGCTGTCTAATTACAGAGCATTTTCATGGCCCTAGTTAAGGAAACACGATGCCCTTGTTACTGTGTACTTCTACCCCTAACCTCTGGCAGCCACTAATGTATTTTCTGTCCAGTAACTATGACTAGACTGGATATTTCATATAAACCGAATCATATATTATGTGGCCTTTTGTGTCTAGAATTTTTCACTTAGCATGATATTTCCGAGGTTCATCCATACATAGTATCCCATTCTTTTCTATGGCTAAGTGATACTCCATGGTAAAGATAATACCACATTTTGTTTATTCATTAAAAAATTGGATGTTCATGGTGCTTTTACTTTTTTGGCTACTGAGAGTATTGTTGCTATGGATATTGGTGTGTAGGCTTTTGTGTGGACATAGGTTTCCAGTTCTCGTGGGTTTGTGTGTAGGAGTTGAACTGTTGGGTCATGGGGTAACTGTGTTTAAGTTTTTGAGGAACTGCCTCACTGTTTTCCAAAGTGGGTCACTACTTTGTTACCACCAGCAACGTTTGAGGGTTCTAACTTGTTCTCATTTTTACCAGCACTTGCTGTATTTCTTTTTTTTTTTTTTTTTTTGGTACCAAGAATTGAACTCCCAACCTTGCACTTGCCAGGCAAGCACTGTGCCACTGAGCTAAATCCCCAACCCCTTTTTTTGGTCTTTTTGAGATAGGGTCTCACTATGCAGTTCATAGCTGGCCTTGAGTTCACTTTGTAGCTGAGGCTAGCCTCGAACTCACAGCAATTTTCCTGCCTCAGCCTCCCCAGTACTGGGATTACAGGCATGTGCCACCACTCCTGGCTTGTTTTCTTTTTCTTTTCTTTTCTTTTTTTTTTTTGTCTGTTTGAGACAGGGTCTGCCTCTGCAGTTCAGGCTGGTCTTGAGCTCACTTTGTAGCTGAGGCTGGCCTCGAACTCACAACAGTCTTCCTGCCTCAGCCTCCCCAGTACTGAGATTACAGGCATGCACCACCACACTTGGCTTGTTTTCTTTCTTTTTTTTGTCTTTTTGAGACAGGGTCTCCCTATGTAGTTCAGGCTGGCCTTGAACTCATAACAATCTTCCTGCCTCAGCTTCCCCAGTACTGGGATTGCAGGCATGCAACACCACTCTTGGCTTGTTCTTTTTTCTTTGGTACTGGGAATCGAACTCAGGATCTTACACTTGCCAGGCAGGCACTTATGCCACTGAGCTATATCCCCGGCCCTTTTTTTTTTTTTTTTTGGTCTTTTTGAGACAGGTTCTCCCTGTGCAGTTCAGGCTGGCCTTGAGCTCATTTTGTAGTTGAGGCCAGCCTCAAACTCACAACGATCTTCCTGCCTCAGCCTCTCCAGTACTGGGATTACAGGCATGCGCTAGCATGCCCAGCTTGTTTTCTTTGCTTTCTTCCTTTCTTTCTTTCTTTTTTTTTTTTTTTTTTTTTTTTCTTTTTCTGAGACAGGGTCTTGCTGTGCAATTCAAGCTGGCCTTGAGCTCATTTTGTAGATCAGGCTAGTCTCTAACTTGCAAAGATCCTCCTGCCTCAGTCTCCCGAGTGCTGGGATTACTGGCATATACCACCACGCCCAGCCTTGTTTTCTTTCTTTATAGTCATTTTAGTGATTGCAAAATGACATCTCAGTGATGCCTCTGATTTATATTTTTCTAATATCATTGGGTATCCTTTCATGTGCTTATTATCTGTTTGTGCATCTTCTTTGGACAAATGCCCATTCAAATCCTGAGCCCTTTTTTTGGTGTTTGTGCCCATTTTTTAATTAAGTTTTGTGGTTGAGTTGTAAGCCTTTTATATACTCTGGAACTAAACTTATACGAGATACGAGATTTTCAAATACATTCTGTGGGTTGTCTTTCTCCTTCCTTGAAATATGCTTTGATGTACAAATGTTTTAAATTTTTTTATTGAATTTACTATTTCTTTTTTTTTTCTTTTGTTGCTTGATGTCAGAAGTATTGCCTAATTCTAGTTCATGAAGATTTGTGCCCATGCTGAGGTCTTTTGTCCATTTTGAGTTAGTTTTTGTATATGGTGTGAGATAGGAGTTCACTTTATTTTGCATTTGATAATCCAGTAATCCCAATGCCATTAAAAACTATCCTTCTGCTGAATTGTCTTGATATCTGTTGCAAAATCAGATGAGTATGAATGCAAGGCTTTCTTTACTTTCAGTTCTGTTCCACTGGTCTATATATCTCTGAATGTTAGCACCACATAGTCTTTAAGAAAAACAGTAATTATATATATTTATGGGGAGTAGTGTGACATTTCCATACATTTGTACAGTGTATCATGATCAGATCATGGTAATTGGTATATCTCCATCACTTCAGACATTTATCATCATTTCTTTGTGTTGGGAATAAAATCCCCTCTGTTATTTGAAGCATACAGTTAAGGGCCACCAACTATGATTAGCCAACTGTGCTCCCAGACATGAGAAGGTATTCCTCCTCTCCTCCTGTACTCTCTGCTCCTGCACCTGTTAACATTCTCTTTTCTCCTCACATCATTCTCAAGTTTTGGTAACTGTTATTTGCTCTTCACTTTTATAAGATCAAATTTTTAGCTTCCACATGTGAGAACATGCAGTATTTTTCTTGCACTGCCTTATTTCACTTCACATAATGTCCTCTAGTTCTATCTATGTCACTGGATATGACAGGATTTCTTTTTTCATGGCTGCATAATATTCCACTTTTTAGATATACCACAAATTCTTTATTTATTCATCTACTGATGGACATCTAAGTTGATTTCAATCTTTTGACAGCGTGAATAGTGCTGCTAAATATGTGTCTCATTAACATGTGGTTTTTATTTCCTTTGTATATGTATCCAGTGTAGAATTCTTTGATCAGTTGACAGTTCTATTTCTGGTTTTTTGAGGAATCACTGCATTGTTACATTGTTACTTTTGTCTTTTTGATAATAATCATTCTTACTGGAATGAGCTGATATCTCATTATGTTTTTTTAAATTTTATTTTAAAGAGAAAAAAAAACCCCAAAACAAAAATAAAGGCAAAAATAAATAGCAAAAAACAATAAAAACAATACAGAATTTCAAAACGAGGTGATAGGAAATTAACAATGGGTGTTATATTACATATTGTTATCTTCAAAGTAGTTGCTCAGATTACCAGATATAGGTGTGCAAGACTGATCAAACAATTAAGCATTAACTGTTTCTTTCAATAAACCAATAGAAATCAGTAGTACAATTATCTTAGCTATCTTGTGTGTGTGTGTATATATGTATTTCCCTTCCTTCTTTTCTCCTTTCTCCCATCCCAGTCCTTCTTTCCTCTTAAAAAGAGATAAATATAACCATGAAAACAGCTTATTAGGACAGTTACAATAGTTGATACATTGTGTGTTGTTGTCTTCCTAGTAGTTATTCAGAGTAGAAGATATAGGCATGATACCTTGTCTATACAATATTAGCACAAAACTTTCCTTTTAATGAACTAAGAGAAATTAGCTGTGTAACAATCTTAACTATCTGGTACGTACATATATTTTTTCCTTTCTTCATTTACCGTTTTCCTGACACAATTTGTCTTTTTTTTGAACAGTGACTTCCCAATTCATAATATCTATTGTACATTTTTTTTATCTTACTTTTTGTTTTTTCACACTAGTGAGCAATACAGTGTTTACACATATGGGTCTGATTTATTTCACTTATGAGTGTGTTCTTGAGTTGCATCTATTTACCTATAAAAGACTCAACTTTATCCTTTTTTATGGCTGAGTAGTACTCCATTATAAAAAACCCCACATCTTTTTATCCATTTCTTGGTTGATGGGCATCTGGGTTGTTTCCAAGTTCTAGCTATTTCAGATTGTGCTGGTATAAATATGGGTGCATATATATCACTGTGGTATGATGATTTTAATTTTTCTGGGAAGATACTTAGAAGGATGATAGCTAGGTCAAATGGGACCTCCAATCCCAATTTTTTGAGGAATCTCTACACTGGTTTCCACAGTGGTTGCACCAGTCTACACTCCCACCAACAGTGGAGAAGAGTTCCTTTTTCCCCACAGCCCTGTCAGTGTTTGTTATCAGTTGATTTCTTTTTTTTTTTCTTTCTTTTTTTTTTTTTTGGTTTTTCTCCGGTACCGGGAACCGAACTCATGACCTTGCACTTGCCAGGCAGGCGCTTTTGCCGCTGAGCTAAATCCCCAGCCCCTTTGATTTCTTGATAATAGCCATTCTTTCTGGGGTGAGATGGAATCTCAGTGTTGTTTTAATTTGCATCTCTTGAATGACCAATGATGTTGAACCTTTTTTCAGGTATTTATTTGCCATTTGTATTTCTTTATCTGAGAAGTGCCTATTTATCTCTGATGCCTACTTTTGGATTGGGTCTTTGAATTTGGGGGGTGAGGTCTGATTTTTTTCAATTATATGTTCTGGATATAAGTCTTTTGTTTATGGTATAACTGGTATAATTTTTTCCCACTCTGGGTTGTCTTTTCACTTTGTTGATGATTTTTGTTGTGTGAAAGCTTTTTATTAAGGTGAGATCCCATTTGTTGATTCTTTCTACTATTTCCCTTGTAGTCTGGGTTTTGTTCATGAAGTCTCTGCCTACACCTATGTCTTTGAGGTGTCTACCCACTTTCTTTTCCA